AAGGAAATCATTTTAGCTTTCTAACCCTGGTCGGGGAATTCATTTTATCGATGCAAATTCCTTGGGAGTCAGCTTAGGGCTGGAGTCCCAGCTTTGTCCTGCGCTGGCCAGTAGCCTTAGGCGAGTTTCTCCGTCTCTAAGCGGCTGTTTCCTTTTCTACTAAATGGAGATGCCAATAGTACCTGTACGAGAGAGAGAGAGAGAGAGAGAGAGAGAGAGAGAGAGAGAGAGAGAAAGGGGGGCGGGTCACAAGACCGCTTGTCAAGCATTGAAAGTACTTTACTGGTTGTTCTCACAACTCTGCTCCTAACAGTAGTGTTTGCACCTCAAACTCGTAGCCTGGTGGTACAGACTCACATCCTCCCTTTTACAAGTCCACACCTCTATTGCCAGTCATTTACCTGCACTTGGGCCTGTAGCTCTGATCTCAGGTTGTCAACAGCACTAATGGATATTTTGCTGGCATCAAATTTCTATTTGGCCTAAAGTGAACCACTTACAAGTTCCTCCCCACTCCTCCACCTGCTGCTCCATCCCAGTCACTGTCACGCCAGGAGAAGCCGCCCTCTCTCTTCCACAGGTAACCTGCGGCGTTTGAGCAATTCTGTTACTTCACTCCACAGGGAGGGGCTGGGGTTGAGCTCTGGCGCCAGGCAGACCTTGGTTTAAATCCTGGCCCTGCTGCTCACACACGGTGTGACCACTAGCCCTTCTCTGAACCTCAGTTTCATACGATGGGGTGATAACAGACCTGCCACTTAGGGCTGTGGCCCTGATGTCAAAAGCAGATAACCCAGGCGCGTGGATAGCGCCATGCGATCACAAGGTGAGCTCTCAAAAAAGGAGCTGTGATTAGCTTTTATAACCACGATGACTGCAGCCGCTGCCACTTACAGCCCTGGGACGGCTTCCATACGGGCCCCAACTTCCGCCTCGTCCAGGCCACATTGCTCTTCCGTGCTGCCACTGTGAGCACGCCTCAGCTCGGGGATCTTGATGGCTTCCACTGCCAGTCTGTCCTTCCAGCCCAGGTGCTACCTGCAGCCTAGCCAGGCCTCCCCTCCAGTCTGCTCTGCCCTTTCCTTCCCCTACAGTCAGCGAAGCACTCTGCTGCTAACCGAAAAGTTGGAGGGTCACACGGAGGTGCCCTGAGAGAAAGGCCTGGCGACTGACTTCCCCCAAATCAGCCATCGCACGCCTGGTGGAGCACAGCTGTACCCCGACACACCTTGGTGTCGCCGTAAGTCTGAGTGGACAGGCTGGCAGCTGGCTGGTTTCTTCTTTGGGTTTCCCCTCTGGGTAATATTTGCCTCATATACGTGCAGACTGGTTTTCAGTACATCCCCACCCCAACTCAAACACCTGTGGTACCCTCCTCTCTGATCCCCCCCCCAAACCAGACCAAGCCTGTTGATGTTGGCTCCAATCTCTATGGACCCTGTGCTCGGAATAACAGAGCCCTGGTGGCGTCGTGGCCGCTCAGCAGAAGGCCAGCAGTTGGAATCGACCAGCTGGTCCTCAGGCAAGAGGCTCTCTGCTCCTGTGAAGGCTTATAGCCCGGGAAGCCCAAGGTGAGGAAGTCTGTCCTACAGTTCATTCACTGCCCTGCGTTTCTTTGTTCAATGGAGCAGAATAGAACTGCCTGGAGCCTTCCCAAGGTTCATGGATCCTCACAGAAGCAGAGGGCCGGAGCCATTTAACTCTTGGACACTTAACGGAGCTCCTGGCTCCTCCCTTAGTAGGGTTCAATTCACATCTACTCTTTGGGGTTTCCCTCCTGCCTGCCACCTGAGCGGCCTAGAGGGTTCGGTCTTCACCTCCAAGACCCTCCTTGAGCTCCCCCTGGCATCCGTCATCTCACCACTGCTTGCCCTTGCTAGCCCTCCCTGTTTGCTTGTTAACGCCACTGTTAATAAATAACACGTTTCTGGGACTCAGATGTACCCACGTTTGCCCACTGGCCAAAGGTTTTCAGGGGCATTGCTTACCTCTCCCGTGACTGCTCTAGAGAGGACAAGGGCAGACAGTGTCAGACCCCCACCCCACCCCCGTGGTCACCTCATCAGCAAAACGGCTTCATGCACGTGTCTAACACTCACTCATGTGTTGTGAAAGGGGCCCGCCTTGCACGTCACACTGATTATGAGATCAGCACAGAATGATCCTCTGATGTCGCCTGAACAGTGGAAATGCCAGCGAAGGACTGCCAACGGGCCACCTCCCAGTCCTCTGGGCCAAAAGAATGGTGCTGTGCTCAAAAGGGAGGGGTGGGGCCCCCCACGTACCCCGCCTTCTTGCCCACAGGCATCTAAGTTTCAGGCACATTTGTTTAGTCCTGTCCTAAGCGATGAGGCAACATGACTAGCAAGGAAGTGGCGAGTTGACTGACGACTTGCAGCTAAGGAATGTCACGTCGTCGCTGGAGTCCTCTTCAGATTCCCAGAACCCAAAGGAGGAGGGTGAGAGCCGCAGGGATGACTCAGGGCTACTTGGCTTTCGACAGCTCAAGCTCCCAGCCAACCGGAGCACCCGAGCACAGGCCGGCAGGAAGTCTAGTTACTGCAAGTTGCCCCTCCACTCCCCAGCCCGCAGCCCATGTGCCCGTGCATGAAGGCTGTCCTGGCCTCTCAGCCACGCACCCAACACACGCAGTATGGCAGTAGCATTGCACGGTGGGCGTGGACAGAGCTGGGTGACACTGTCTGAGGAGGGTGACACTGGTAGGACTGCGTCCAAAATGTGTGGGAGGTGTTTCCGCCGACACGAACTAAGTTTAATAAAAAGAGCCCCGTGGTAAGTGATAACACCAACCCGGTTCCGGACGCCCAGCTTGCATGGATCACGAGACTGCAGGTTGTCAGCTCTACCGACGGACGGGCCCTGGTCAGAGCTGCCACGGCGGAAGGACCATGATGCTTTGAAGCAGGCACGGGGTTTCCATCTACACACACTGCAAGGGCCAGCCGTGGGCTTCCTCCCTCCCCGCCCCGCCCCCCCCCCAAGGCCCATTTTGATAGCTGCCCATTGTGTTCGAGTTTCTGGCACTGCCGCGGCAATCCTGTGGCCCTTGTCTCTGTGAACCTAGGTCTTTTTGAAGGACGAAGTCCCATCTGAAGAAACGAGGAAGACATTCAAAAGGAAAGAAAACTTCCACTCAGTTACTAACGATGTTATAACTAATCATGCACCACAATGCGGAACGAGGTTACAAGGCGTCTGTAGGGTCTCGTTCCGAGAGGAGGCCCGTGGGGACAGAGGTGACACCAGGAGCTACTGTGGCCTCGGGCCACGTCTGCGGCACGGTTATCTCCAGATGAGTCAGTCGGGGTCCATGTGGATGCTCAGCTAACCAGATGGCTGCAGGAGGACCCGCAGGTGGGGTTGAGCAGCGCATGCGTCTGTGACTCTGCCCCGGGGTCGAGCCTTTGCTTCAGAGAGGTGGGAAGCCCTGTCCTGAGAAGGAATCACCGTCCCCCTACGTTTTTCCCCAGAGACCCCAGAGCTTTAATCTAATCCATATGTTCCCTGGAGACCTTGGTATTTCCGGCCTCATCCTTTTGTGGGTCTAATAGAAAGACCTGGAAATAATTTCCAGAACAAGAAGTTATTTCTGTTCTTGAAGACAAAGCAGATGCTCTGCAGGGGTTGGGGGATGTTCCAGAGAGCAGTCACCTGCCCCTTCCCACCCACCTCCGGGCACTAGGCCAGGCCGGGGCTAATGACCCGTGAGGCAGACCATCACCAGGCTGCCTGGCAGAGACTCCTGGTTTTTAAGACACTTCCTCTAACCCACAGTCCCAGGCATCCCCGGGGTGGACCCCTTCCTGCCTTAGTTTCCCTTTCAGCTTTGCTGGGCTGCCTGAAGCCCCCATTCCAGGACCAACAGCCCAGAGCACAGCAGAGCTGTGGGCACCCCAGGCTCTGTTTCCAACCACAAGGTCCCTGGGTGATGCAAAGAGCTAATGCCCTAGGCTGCTCATTGAAAGGTCTGAAGAGGGAGGAGACGAGCCAGGTGGGGTGCAGTTTGCACGGACGAAACATACAGTTTTCCTCTAGTTCTTTAATACTTCCTCCCCACGACTATCATGATCCCAATTCTACCTTACAAATCCAGCTAGACCAGAGGA